CTATTTATAGAATGCCACAAGGAAGTCTAGCCTCTGCTTTTAAATATTTTAATGGCTGCTAAAACTTGACACATTAATATTGAATATATTACACGCCTGAATAAGTGGGAGTGTATTTATTTGGCCACCCTTGGCCAGACTCTTAGCTGCAGCATTATAATCCTTAATCACATATCCCACATGCGCTGTGTATGTCACAGAGGAACACAAATGAAACCCTCCTTTAAAGAATAAAGACCCATCAGAGCCTACCTATAATCCCAGCACTTGGGAGGCTGAGGCAGGAGGATCATGTGAGACCAGCCAGGGTAACATATTGAGACCCTGTCTCCAAAAATAATTATATCATCTTTGAACTGTCTTGAAGACAGGTGAAGTTACATGAAGTCACTAGGTAGCCTTAAGGGAGTTCTAGTGAAATGCTTTAACAATATGTAAATGAGACATTTGAGAAACACCCACAAAGCAAGAACTTTCTTGCCGATGTGAGACCAGATTTCTCTTTAGTCCCATTGACATTTCTAAGCTTATTACTCTGCAGAAAAATAACATAGATGGTTTCTAAGGAGCTGGGTTCCAGGGAGGCAGCTTCTCAGACACTCTGCTCCAGGGAGGTGTGTAGACACCTGGCCCTTCACATGGACCATAGACCGTGTTGTGGTCAGGACAGACGGGGCCAGCCTGTGACCAGTGGGGCACAGATGCCAGCAATGCAATTCCGGTCCTTTGGAGTCCATAATTCTTGTCATCTAATTTCAAGAAGCAAGACATCAACTGTGTTTGGTGTCGCTGCTATGGTGGTGATGGTCCCCAGGTAAAGGACAGTCAGATTCACTGCGGAGAGTTCTCCTTCTGCTCTCTTCAGTGTCTTTGGACTTGAAACTGCCCCGGGGCAAAAACAACATCCTTCCTGCTCCCTACAAGGATGTCAACACGAAAAGCAATTTTCATGAATGGCTCCCTGACGTATTAATAAGGCTGCAGAAAAATGGAAAAGTAGAGTTCTTGCTTTTGAAGAGGTGAGGCACTGTCCATACAGATTCTGGATAAACTGAGGAAAAAAAGGCTACTACATTCCTCATTGCTTTTACCAAGTTCCAGTTTTGCTCCAAATCCTTTGCTAAAAGTCAACAAATGTTAGATTAATGGCAAGGTACTCATTGTCTCAGAGTGTGTGGAAGTTATTTCTGGCTGTTATTTCTGTTCTGTTTGTTTGTAATCAGGAAAATCCTCATCAGCTTGGCCAACTTCTTCATTGATGTGGTCACATCAAATATGGTTATTCCTGTGACCAGGACATTGTGGGCACTCTGTGGCTTCCGAATCACACCCTGGGCCAGTGGCATGTTTCTAAATGCTCCTCAAACACACAACGTGGTGGTCCTGTGCAGATGGTGTCATCGGGGCTCAGGCTGGGCTCAAGGGACTTCCCGTCTTCTGCCTCTTGAGCCCTGTCTTGGCCTTCAGCAGCTGCTGTATTTATAGCATGGCCTCAGCATCTCGAATGTCCTTTAGTCTAGAAAGCAAGTAGTGATTTGCATAAAATATAGGTATCCATGGAGGATTGGATTCAGGATCCTTGTGGCCACCAAAATCTGAGGACGCTTAAGTCCCTCAGAAAATAGAATACTTGAACAAATCCAACACACATCTTCCTGTCTACTTTAACCTGCCAGTTGATTACTTATACCAACCGCTGCAGTGTAAGTGCCATGGAGGAAACTGCGATTATGCTGCTGTTCAGGGAATAATGACAAGAAAAAGTCTGTTCAGAAAAGATGTCTTTTTTTTCTGCATATTTTAAATCTGTGGTTGGTTGAATCTACTAATGTGGAACTTGCGGAGATGGAGGGCAGGCTATTTAACAACAACAACAAAGGGGTTCATTTGATGCAGAATTTATTTTTGTATTTTATATAAATGTGACTTTTATTGTATATTTTATTTTCATTCTTAGACCCATCAGGCCAACATGTAGATCAAGTAGATCAACCTTCCTTTGCCTCTAAAAAAGATTCCATGGCCCCTGTTGAATATAGAATAATTTTTCTCCACCCCCAGTCCAAGTCAATGTTACATGTAAGTTTTACCTATAGGAGGATATTTGCTACTACTGAGAGCTACAGGTAAAAATCTCTAAGGGTATTTCAGTCACAGTGATCCATGCATACTCATGTTTTTAGCAGCACAATTCATAGTAGCTAAATCTTGGAAGTAGCCTATATGCCCATCCACAGATAAATGGATAAAGAAAATGTGGAATTTACACACAATGGAGCACCACTCTGCCATAGAGAAGAATACACTCTAGTCATTTGTGGGAAAATGTGGATGTACCTGGAGACAGTAATGTTAAGTGAAATAAATCGGACACAAGCATAAATATTACATGGTTTTCCCTTATATGAGAAACCTAAATTATAAAGAACAAAATAAAAGATAGAAAACAGGCAGTAGGGAGATAGATCTTTCTCAAATGGGAATGGGATCAAGAGATAGAGGGGGAGAGGGAGAGGAGGGAAGGGAGGAAAAGAGAATGAAGATGTGCTGTGCACAGAACCAACTCCATGAGCATAATCATTATGTACTGCAAGCATATACCAATAGAGTATCTCACACTGCTTTATCCCAGTGGATATTTCACAGTATAAAATGTGAGGCTGTAACTCGGTGGCAGAGCAGTAACCTGGCAAATGTGAGGCCTTGGGTTCCACCCCTAGCACCAAAACAAATTTCCAAAAAGAATTATAAGATGGATGAACAGAACTACTTCCGGCCTCTGGAAATGTAAGATAAACTTCAGGGCCAGAGCTGTGTGGGGCTCTGGATGGAAGAGGAGCAAGGTGGAGTGTACATAAAGCAGTCTGTCCACGATGATCCTCTCAGCCCCAGAACCGAGAACAGGGGCCATCAGAGCATCACACCCATGCACCCTGGCCAGTGTCCTGAGTACTGCTGGGTGTGGGTACGTGCCTGTGATCCTAGGATTTGGAGAGGCTGAAGCAGGAGGATTTCAAGTTCAAGCCTAGCTTGAGGAACTTAATGACTTGCTGAGACCCCATCTCAAAATAAGGTAAGATTAAAAAAAAATTAAAATAAAATAGGGCTGGGGATGTTGTTTCAGTGTGAAGGCCCAGGGTTCACTCCCCAGTATTGGAGGAGAAAAACAACGGTTTCCCAGTGCTAAAGCATTATGGCTCAGTTACTGTCCACTCTGAAGGTCTAGAAAGCAGCTGTGCTTGGCTTAGGGTTTTTGCCTCAGAAGAGGCAAGCTGCTTCTGGCATCTGTCATGTGCTAGCTGCTGACACCCCTCGTGACCTCTGGGTCCATGCATGCCACAGTCCCACCTGGCCTCGTCCAGGCCTTGCAGCAGGCTGGCCGGGCAGGTGCCGTTCACTGTGTAGACATGCTGGGCACACCCCTGTCCAGAGCTCTAGAACCCTGCTGGGCCAGAGTATGGGGACCACCTAACGCTCTGCCTGGCAGACCTGCCCGAGCCAGGTGAGGACTAAGGCTCTTGGTTTTCTGCCCCAGAATTCTCCATCTCTTTCTGCAGATCCCAAGTGCATAGTTAATTTTATCTGAGTGATGAAAATTAGCTGTGCCTCAGCCAGGCTTTGGGCATGTTCAAACCCATTCATGTAGTTTAATCCACATGCAAACAGCCCACTGTCTCAGGGCTGCTGAACAAGTTCAGTTTGCTCTGCCGGGGCCTCTGGGGGGAACTTGGAGGTGCCTCCCCCAGAGCTCTTATCCTGCTCGGCTGGATACTTTGAGGGAGAGCTTCGAATGCTGGGTTTCCAAGTAGCAGCTCAAGCTGTCTAGCCCATGCACAACACAGGAGCGCTGTTCTATGTGGCTGTCAACGACCACTTACGTGACACATGACCCGTGTGTAACAGTGTGCCAGGCCCATCCCCCCAGGGCTGGGTGACTCTGCCACGCGACGGGCAGCTGGAGGGAAGATCACGCCCTTCATCCTGCGTCCACCCCAGCTATCCTAACACTGCAGCTGCCGGGGTGGACTGTAAAGAGTTACAGGTCTGGGACCCACTAGGAGCTCGATCCTGATGTCAGAAGATGCACTGCCAACTAGGATGGCCACACAGTCCATCTGTTCTGAATGCACCAACAGGACACTGCAGTCTACAGGTGCCATGGGACCTGCAGGTGAGCGGGGAAGGTGTGAACTCACATGACTGGGAACTACAGTGAGGGCCACACTGTCACCGCCACTGTAGGACCTGCAATACTGACGAGCCTGTTCAAACCCTAACATGGGAATCCTGCGTCCAGTTAGCACTGCACAGCAAGGGAAACAACTCGTGACACCGTGATGGTCCAGGTCCCTTGTACATCCCCAGAAATCAAGCAAGTTCCTTCCTGTGCCTTCTCCATGTTTGGAGGGAACGTGCCTTCCAGGCAAGGGTGGGCAGATATCCTGCTACCCTGCAGCAATCAGGCACCGCCCACTCTTCCGCCCTCAGCCCCACCACCCCCTTCCCTAGAGCCCCTCTATTGCCTGTAACTCCAGGAGGCAGCTCCCAGAACTGGCTGAACGCTGAAACGCCGAGAACCTCTGGGACACGCAGCCTATCTCATCAGCTCTCCTCCTTCACGGAGCCAGGATCCACAGGCCCGGAAGCACTCAGAGGGCTGTTTGCAAACACTCCGTTCTCCAGGGGACTCTGACCAGCAGCCAGGTGGGGGTCCCAGGGCAGCTCGGAGGGCTCAGGAGTCTGGGGCTTCAGATCCTTGCAGCTCGCCCAGCGGCCCCGCTGCTCACACTGCCAGCCTGGCTGTGCAGCCACATGCCTGGCACCTTTCTTGTGGCCCCGGCCCAGGTTACATAGCACACTCTGTACCCCTTCTGGCCTGACCTTCCCGCTGCCCCCCCCAAATCTCACCTGCGGCTTGCCCTTGCCTTACCCAAGGGGTCCTCAGCTCCAGATGGGACCCTTCTCACGAGCTGCCTCCTCTGCAGGAAGTGAACACGCACTACCGCAATGGGTTTATTGGTGTGGAAAGAGGGAGACAACTGTTTATTGCCAAGGATGGAGAACCAGTCTGCATGTGCAGTGAACACATGTGGAGCAGCAACAGGGTGCGCTGGGGCCGAGAGGGGACACAGCAACACACAGTGTCCCCAAGCTGTCTCTGGCTCCGCCCTGACACCTGAACTGAAGGAGGGCAGCCGTCCTTCCACCCCAAGGCTGAAACAAGATGCAAACATGACTCAGTTTATCAGCTCCTGCAGCGCAAGCGGGCTGAGAGCCCCTGGCCCGCACAGGAAGCCTTCATCCTTCACTGGTGCCTGGACCCAGCTCCTAAGTCCTGGGCTTCTCTTGGTTCTCGATGACCAGCTTGTCCGTTGAGTAGAGGTGGCTAATATGGACCTGAGGGAGAAGAGGAGGCAGTTAGGACCTGTGGACTCCATCAGCTGTAGGAGCAGGAGTGGTGGTAGCACTTAAATGCAAATCCTGTCCGGGGCAGGGCAGCCCCCTCGACCCTTGCACGACCCACAGCCATCCCTGCTCTGACACAGCGCAGGATGCCTGGCTGCTGGCTGGAGGCAGAGAACTCTGCACTGTATGCTACCTCCTTTCTTTAGAACTGCTTCTCCCGTCAGGGATGGCTTTCAGCAGAAAGCAAAGATGTTTTGAAAATGAGGCAGGAAAGGCATTGCATTGAGGGCAACAGAGACAATGCTCAGGGGCTGTCCCCTGAGCGGGGAGGGCAGCAGGCTCCGCACCTCCTGCTTTAGCGTCCTTCTCAGCTAAGCATCTCTGCTTCACTGTCTCAGATGGATGCTGAACCCCTAACCTGAGGCCATGGCCCCCCTGCTTTGGAACAAAGTCTTTGTCACAACTTCTCTTTAAAGGGACTTCCTGAGTAAAACTTTTAAAGGAACAAATAGAATAGTAGAGAAACGGGTGAGCTTTAGGAAATCTGTCTGGATTTCAGAGATGTTGGCTGCTCTCTTTGAACAATCTGGGGCAAGTAATTGCTCTTGAAAAGGGGAAATGTGAGAAAATTCCCAGAGGCCAGTACTGCTACCCAGAGTGGCTTAGGGACAGCCAGGCGCCCTGATGGCTGACTAGTAACTAGCAAGTTGTGGTGTCGGGTGAGAGAGCTACATTGCCTAAAAAGACAGAAGCAGTAGGGAATGACTTTGTGGGGAAATGAGTGATCATGCAGGTGTTTCTAATTGAGTGAATTCGCTATTAAGAAAAAAGTGCCGTGTTGCCAGTGGGAATAAGCACTCCAGCACAACTGCCAGCAGAAACCACAGCGAGGGCCAGCTCTGGTGTCCTGTCAAGGCTGATGCCCGTGCGGCTGGAGCGGGATGTCCAGAGGGCTGGGCTTCAGGGGACAGGGTTTTTGTTGTTTTCTATTCATTCATCTGGGTTTATAAGGGATGTAGGACAATCCTGATGAGGGGCTGCTTAGGTTTCCTTTCTTGAACCTAAATTAGCCACTGGGTGAGCTGAAACCAGGCGTCCCTACAGGAGGAGAGGGGACCACAGTGGGTTATATGGCTTCCCCTCCACACAGTGTGGATTACGTACCTTTATTTTCACTTGCAAACTTCAACAGACCTATGGGCCTGCTCTCCAATGATTTTGAGAGAGGAAAGGATAAAACAGCAATGATTCTTTAAGCAGAAACCTGAGAATTCAGTTTTGGAGAGAGGTCCCCACTTAAAGGAGGTTGAGTACCAGTCACTCTGAGATGTGTGAGGAAGAACTCGGCAGTCGTTCATCTGGGATGCAGTAAATTCTCTGTCCTGGTGAGGAGCAGGAAGTGAGAATGGAGAAGGAACTGACGTGCTGGATGGGGCTGCTTCTGTGCTAAGGGTGCCTGGCCCTCTCCAGGGTCACCTCGGCAGTGGGAGCCACGTGGCCTCTGAGCGGCCCTGTCAGCCGCATGTTCTGCTTCTCATACTGGAAGGACGGAGCCCCAGGGAGCCCCGGCTGTGGGTTAGGACCCCTGGGCTGCTGCCCCGGCTCTGTCACTCGCCAGCACCACACTCCATGTCCTCCCCTGGGCTCGGCACCCTCGTCTGCAGAATGCGAGGCTGGAACTCCTAGTTCTCCACTGCCCTTGGGGCTCCAGCAGTCACAGGACTCTGGAGTTGGCAGCTGGCAGGAGGCGAATGGCGTTAACTTCACTGAAAGGCTCTTTCCTAATAGTATTGTGATAGTATCTCATTGTGAACATGTAAAGAATTCAATCCTTCCTACCTGGTGAACATTTACATCGCTTCCACTTACGGCTAGGATTACCACTCATATAGAATTCTTAGCACATCTGATGTTTGCCTGATGTTCTGAAAGAATTGTTGAAGTGGAATTACTAGGGAAACAGGTGTGAATATTGGTTCCTAGTAGATGTTGCAAATTCCTTTCTGGCATGGTTTGCTCTTTTGTCCTCCGGATGCTCCCTCTGGTGGCCGACTGGAGGGCTTCCGAGGCACAGGGTCCCCGCACAGCACACGGTGGCCCTGGGGATGCTGAGGCCCCTGTGTGTGGTGGGAACAGGAATGCAGGACTGGCTTGCTGCGTCACCTGGCATGTTCCTAACAAAAGCCTTCAGCTGACAGTGGACCCGAGTTCTCTTCTCCAGGCTGAGGGACGAGACCTCTGGGGGAAGTGCTGTCCTGCAGGGCACGGCCATGGGAATGGTGCAGGGGAATCTGCAGAACGCAGGATGGAGTGGGGAGCAGCCCAGAGCCGCGCTCTAGGTGACCTGGCATCAAACAACTTACAGTGCACTCTCACTGAAGTATGAACCCGGTTAAACATTTTTTGGTATCGGGGATTGAACTTGGGGTTATCACGTTAGGTAAGTTTCTACCACAGAGTTACACCTCTTGCTCTTAAAATACTTCTCTCAGGTACTGTAATTTTACAGGTTTGGGGGAAAAAGGAAACGACACTGGCTGTTGATAACGCTATTGGTGCAAGAGGGTTTAGGGAAATGCCTTTCCGTCTAGGGCCCTTGGCCTGCGATTCCATCTTCCCCGTGGGAGGCTGCCTGCCCTCCTCCACACCCCTCAGCCTCTGCTCCACCGCCAACTTCTGTCTTTGCCTAGGCTGCTCTGCCAAGAAGCAGCTTCCTGTGCTCGCCAGGAAGGGCTCCCTGCCCTGGGAACGGTTATAGCACACAGGGGCCCTGTACTGTGACCAGCAGTGAGAGCCTGCTCAGCTCCCTGCATGACAGCCAGTGACCAAGGGAGCAGGGGAGGGAGGGGACTGTGTGCCTGGCTGTGTTCAGGGCCAGCATGGAGCAGGGGCTCAGGAAGCAGTCATGGCTGCACGATGACGCTCTGGTCAGAGTGACTGCATGTTTATGACTATCACCCAGTGACATTATAGCTGTTCTAGTGTGTGTAAGTATTTTTATCAGGCTCCTGTTGGAACTGGCCAATGACATTTCTCAGGGCAGACTTGTCCCCATGATTCAGTGATGCACAACTGTGCCTGTCAACTAAAGATACCAGTCCCTTGTACTCTGGCTCCAAGGCTCCATGCCCACTATCACCAGGACCTAGACCTGTCAGTGACTGCAGAATGCTTCAGTGGAAACACAGGAGTGAGGAGGGCGAGTTGATGAAACAATACTGCTGCAAGAATGTTCACTGACTACTAAACAAAGTTGGCTGCGCACAAGGTTTACGGCATAATCCAGGGCTATAGCGGATTGATGCAGAACAATTACAGAAGAGCGAGGGGAAGCTCAGGGAAGAAACAAGACAAAGTCCCCTCGATGAGGACTGTGGAGTAAAGCTATGAATGTTTGTGTAGCAGCTCTGGCCCACTTATTGGGCTGCAAATGCGGGCCACGCATCAGGAGGCTGTGGGGATCGAGGCTGCCGGGGAGAAGCCTGCTCAATGGAAGGGAGCTGGGCCATGAACAGCACTGACTCCCAGACCCCCGGATCCCAGATGGACCCACGTGGCCACGGCAGACCTGATCATGCTTTCAATCTTCACCTCACAGTGCGTCTGTGTGGATCAGATGACATCAGGAAGCAAATCCACCAACCGCACCAGTTAGGTCCCAGGACCCCGGTATGAAGTCTTCATGCTGGTGGGAAGATGAGGCAAGTGCCAGGCACATGGCCAGGACAGGATAAGCGTCACTGCTGTGCATGGCCTGTCAGGGTGCGTATCATGAAGCCAGGTGTGGTGGCACACACCTGTGATCCCAGCACTCTGGGAGGCTGAGTGGGAGGATCACAGTTCAAGTCCTGCCTGGGCAACTTAGTAAAACCCTGTCTCAAAGAAATAATAATGATAATAATAATAGAAAATGGCTGTGGATATAGCATGGTGCACAAGTAATGGGTTTAATCCTCAATTATACCCCCCATGCAATCCTGGGGCCTCAGACCCCGACCACAGGTTCACTCAGGCCCCTCACCCAGTAGGTGTCGACCCGTGGGTATGTCATCATTAACCCCCACTGTGATGCCAGAGACTGCTGCTGGGCTTTGAGGCCGGGCTTTCTGGGCTGGGCTTGAGCACTGACTGCAGTCGGCTCTGTCCTCGTCTCTGCCCGGGGCCCTGATCATCTACCCAGGGAGGGCCAGGCGCCTCCAGCTGGCAGAGCAGCCTGGCGAGAGGAGGTTCGCTGGCACTGAGGGTGCAGGAGAGAGGAGGGCCCCTGGCTCTGCTGGAAAAGGTGGGACGTGGACTGTTGCTGTATTCTTCCCCCGGGGGCTGGTAAAGACACCCGGGTGGGGACCGTCCTTAGCCAACCGGGGCAGCCCCAGATGCTGCTGCTGGCCTTGTGGTGGTGATACTTTCATCGTCATTCATAACAGTGACATTTAATGAGCATTTAGTATGTAGCTACTATGTACTGTTCTAAGTGCTTAAGCATTTCTTCTAGACTCAATAACTATGAAGTACTACTATCAATTTATGGGCTTGCACAGGCAAATTCTATTTTGCTTTAATGTCCATTTTTGGTCCAGCATTTGAGCGAACTGACTGGAAACAGTGAAAAAAGATAGCAGCGGCAGTCACAGCAGTAAAACGTGCACCTGGAGGGAACCCTACAAGAAATACAAGTGATCCCACAGACATCAGTAGAGATGAAAGGAAACGAGAGAGAAGCCATGTTCACGGAGAGGCCGAATCACATAAAATGTCAGCATTTGCAGGTGTTTTGCCACAAGTTACACCCCCAGCCCTCACTTTACTTTTAATAAAAGCCCAACAGAACTTTTTAAAGTACTTGACAAAATGACTTTAAAGCTTGTTTGAATGAAAAGCCAAGAATACGGGGATCGAACTCAGGACCTTGTGCTTGTGGAGCAGGTGGTGGAACCACTGAGCTAAATTCGCGGACCCCTTAAAAAGCATTTTTGAGATAAAATTACAACAGA